GAGGGCCCCAGTTCAGATCCCACATATGAGGGCCAGTGACACTGCCCTCTACAGCTAAGATGCTGAACAACAGCTCAACCTGGAGCTGGGCAGCCATGAGTCGCCAGCAACGGCCTAGGCTGCAGCCCCTGATGCAGTGGGTTGCCATGGGCTACCGTGTGTAGCCAGCAGCCAGCGTTAGCGGCCAGCAGCCGCAGAGAGCGTTCATCCAGAAGCCGGTGACTGATCTGCCTCGCCCGGGAAGAGTGCAATAATGGTGCCAACTTGGGCGAGTGAAGCAACGTCCTCCACAACTAGACTGAAGAACAAAAAGGACAGCAACTTGTCTGTTCCCCTTCCCCTTCCCCAACACTGTTCCCATTCCCCAACTCCCAAATAAAAATATTAAAAAAAAAAGAAAACAAAGTTACCCAAAACAAGTTGCCTCTTAAATAAAAATAGCTTAAAACAGAATTTTTGATTTATATCTCAGTATAGCTTCTTTCTCATAAATGATGAAAATCATGAATATTTTTTCATATACCCTTCTTGATGTTTTGAGATTGCTCACTTTTGCTATTTCTGTCATAACCTTAACATTATATAATCTGGTGTTGGTGATTTTATTATATAACAACTTGCAACTTAAAAAAAATGATGAAGATGTATATGGCATTCATAGAGTAAGATAAGTCAATGAGACCATAATTTGATGATAACAGTCATTTGTAAGAAAATTATGACTTTTTAAAAGATTTTATTGGGTTATTGGGAGTGGGGAACAGCGTTGGGGAATCGAGGAAGAGGAACAGACAAGTTGCTGTCCTTTTGTTCTTCAGTCTAGTTGTGGAGGACATCGCTTCACTGGCCCATGTTGGTATTATCATTGCACTCTTCCCAAGTGAGGCAGATTGGTCTCCTGCTGTCCGGCCGCTCACATTGGCTCTTGGCAGCTCACGCTGGCTGCCAGCCACTCACAGTAGTTCACGGCAGCCCACTGCAGCCCCACTGCAGCCTACACCATCGCCAGCGACTCACGGCAGCCCAGCTCCAGGTCAAGCTATTGTTCACCATCTTAACTATAGAGGGCGCAGCATCACTGGCCCTGACGTGGGATCCGAACCGGGCCCTGCTGCTTAGAGCTGGCATCCCAAGTCAACTCTTAACCAACGCGCCACTCGGCTAGCCCAGAAAATTATGACTTTTAATGACACTGTCAGTTTAAAAACAATAGTAAAAAAGAATTAACTTTAAAAAATGTTTAAAAAAGGGCTTTCCAACAGAAATATAAAGCAAGCCATATATTCAATTTTAAATTTTCTAATAGTCACATTAAAAAGGAAATTAATTTTAACACTATATTTTATTTCACCCAACATCCAAAAGATATCATTTCAACATCTAAACAACATAAAAATTATTAATAAAATACTTTAAGTCTCTTATTGTACTACGTCTCCAAAATTCACCATGTATTTTACATTTATGGGTCACCTCAATTCAAATACTAAAATTTCATTTAAGAATACTTAATCTATATTTAGATTTCCTTAGATTTACAGGTGAAAAAGCAGGTTCACATACCCACATCATTCTAAACATCTTAAAAGTTTTACCGTTTACTGAATCAAGTGTCACTGTTTAAATTTCAAATTAATTAAAGTTAAATAAAGTAAAAAATTCAGTTGTGTAAGTCAAAAATCACATGTGGCTAGGGGCTATCATAATAGAAAGAACAAGTATTATAAATTAGCAAGAAAACTAAATTATATAAGTAAATAAAAGTTGACCACTTAAAAAAGAGTTGTTCTGATTAGTTACAAGTCAAATGTCACCTGCTTTAAAAATAATTTGAAGCTATTTCTTCCAGCTATTTCTTTTTTCTTCTTTATTATTATGTGGGCTGGCTTACCACATTTGCAATTGTCACCTTACAGCATACTCTATTGCATGATGCTATAATATGCAATCATTTTATTTTAAATTTTAAGAGAATTAAAAAGGCACAGTGCAATGTCCTTCCTATGTTATTATTCTACCGAAATAATGCCTAAAGCATTTTTATTCATTTCTTTTTTACCCTAAAGTACTTTTTGGGTCTTCTGCCTTCTCCTGAATATTATTTTGTGGGACTTTTGGGTTTTTTTTTATTTGTTGTTTTTAATAAAATTTCATTGAGGTATAATTTACATACAAAATGAAGCACCTATTTTAGGTTACAGTTCAGTGAATTCTGACAAACTTATATAATCATGGAGCCACCATGCTAATAAGATACAAAGTATTTTCATAACCCCCCCTCCCCCCACTCAAATTTCCTCATGCTCCCAAGAGTTGCTCCAGGGTACACTGATCTAATATCTAACACTATAAATTAATTTTGCCAATTTGAGAACTTCATACAAATAAAATAATACAATGTTCTACACATCCTGTATGTGTGTGTGGTTTGCTCTTTTGGTCTGGATTCTTTTGCCAGCATAATATTCATCAGATTTATTCATCTTGTTGTGTGGTTCAGTAATCTGTTTATTTTTCTTGTTGAGTAGAATCCCAATGTATGAATAAACTACAATTTTTTGCCATTCTGTTTATGGATATTTGTTTTTCTCCCCCATTTTTAGCTATTATAAATAAATCTGCTATGAACATTAGCATACAAGTCTTCACATGGACATATGTGTTCATTTTCTTGGGTAAATACCCAAGAGAAGATTGCTACATCATATGGATCTATTAACTTTATTAGAAGCTGTCACACTGTTTTCCAAAATGACTGTATCACTTTACACTGTCACTTGCAATGTAGGAAAGTTGGATTTGCTCTGTATTCTTGCCAACAATTGAGGCCGTCCATCTTTTTCAATTTTACCCATTCTAGTGAGTGTGTAGTGATATCTTATATGGTATAACTATTATTTGGAATCTTTTCATTGCTACGCTATACAATTTGAACTATCCCTCTTCTCCTTTGATTGATTTATCTGTTTGCTTTCTAAAAAAGAATATAAATAGGAGGAAGAGGGTCGAGTGTCAAAATCTGGGCGAGTGAAAATGTCCCCAAGTGCTAAAATGAGAACCAATCTAGAGATTCAAACTTCAGACTTCCTAGTATCTTGCTCCTATAATTTAGTCATGACATGCTATTGTGGAAAGAGTACAGGACTGAGATTCAGATTCCTGCAGTTCCGGTCCTGCCTTTGCACTTACTAATTGAAGTCATCTGACTTCCGTGAGGGTTTGTTTCCTCTTCTATAAAATTGGGATATCTGTTGTCTCAATCTCAAAGCGCTGTTGTGAGGGTTGAATGAGATTAATATGCCAACATAATGGCTTATTATAAGGTCTTTGAACAAACATAAGCTCCTGGAAGTTTTCCAAAGAAGACGAGGATACTCTTGTCTGGTGCTTCAGACATTAAAGATGGAATGTACTCTTAATAACATATTAGAGGGGCCGGACGTGTGGCGCGTTGGTTAAGAGTTGGCTTGGGACGCCAGCTCTGAGCAGCAAGGCCCCCGTTTGGATCCCACATGAGGGCCAGTGATGCTGCGCCCTCTATGGCTGAAATGGTGAACAACAGCTTGACCTGGAGCCAGGCTGCCATGAGTCGCCAGTGACCACGTAGGCTGCAAAGGGGCTGGCCGGCAGCTGCCATGAGCTGCCATGAGCCACTGTGAGTTGCCGTCCAATGGCTGGAGAGCAACTGCCTCACCCAGGAAGAGAGCAATGATAATACCAACATGGGCCAGTGAAGCAACATCCTCCACAACTAGACTGAAGAACAAAAGAACAGCAACTTTTCTGTTCCTCTTGCCCGATTCCCCAATAAAATCTTTTTAAAAATAAAAAAATAACATATTAGAGAGGCAGCCTGGGTTCTGGAGTTAGAAAACCCAGGTTTAAACCCTCTTAGCTACATGCATCAAATATTTAAATTTTATGACCCTTTGTTACCTTATTTATAAAATAAATGATAGTTTAGCTGTAGGATTTAATGTAATATGTATATGTATCTATGAAGGGCTCAATAAAATGTCTGGTATGTAATAGGCACTCAGTAACTGAGTAGATTCAACTTTTGATAAGTTGTTGATCTTTTAATGCACATTTTCAAATTAACTAGACAGGACAGTCAAAACCAAAGTGCCAGACTATTAAACTCTAAGTGCTGGCATGTTCTGATCTCTTTTATGAGGAATGCAGCCTTTACAAGGAGTTTCTTCTGTAAAACTTTTCAGATATTTTTGTCATCTATGTCAAATGAAACCAATCCAAAATGCAGGCTTAGAAAGATCATTTACAGGCTAGCTGCACATGAGGGGTGCCAATCCCCTTGAGGTGGCTTGTTTCAAAACTCTAACGAACAGTGATGTTTTATATTGGATGCCATCAATAAAAACCCAATGAGGTAGTTTATTCTTGGGTAGTTTAAATGCTGGATACACAGAGCTCTTGTTGTCTCTGAATGATCCTGAGTCAATGTTCCCATCTACCACTGGTCCCGCTATACAAACACCCTTTCTCAGAAGCTCTGGGATCCCAACTAACAACCTCATTGTTAAGATTAGCATCCCTCCTCACTTTCTCGTGTACATTTCAAACACCCTGATGACCACAGTGTGTGTTTCTTTTTTGCTGAACTAATACCCTTACCTTCATTGATAAAATCTGCAATAAGGTGCTGAAGGCTTATTGGGCCTGTGTTTAAATTACCTACCTGCCAGTGATCCTCACAAATAACAGCTAAAGAAAAAGGGACTCTTTATTTGTGACTAGTAACACCCCACTTAATTCTCACATTTTCTTACCTGTTTGCATTTCGAAGAACATCAAATATATTGCTTAGTGATGTATCATTCTGAAACACATTTGGAAAACTAGAGAGAAGCTGCCACACAGCTGTTTGCTCTTGCACTTGTGAGAAAAAGGACAATACTTTGACCATTTCCTGAAATACTGTCTTCTGGTTATTGGGATCCCTTGATATCTTAAAAGAAAGAAACCACAAACAGGACAAAATGAGACTTTAACACTTGTAATCACATGGCTTACTGACTTTGAAAGCATTAAAAACCTAGGTTTTCACATAAATAATTCTTTGGGATTTTCATTGAGTGGGAAGTCACCTTTTACTTGGGAAAACAAACTACCATTTCTAATGTTCTTAAACATAATTGCATATTTTTCCTATACCTACAGAAATTGGCATATTTAAAGTTTGATTCACAGAGCTATGGTTAATACAAAATATTTAAAATGGTATTTTGAGAAATTAAAATTAACTTCTTTAAATAAAATTAGATTCTGAGTAATATTTTTGCTTTTCTCTTAGGACCTGGTTTGGGAGATCTTGATATTATTAAAATATTTACACTCACCTGAGAGAACTGGTTTGTTAGTTCTTGGAGAGAAGACTCTAAAAGTGTCATGTTGGACAGACAAAATTTGTTAAAAACATTTTTCCCTAGAGTGGTCCAAGAGAAGGTGTCATCAGCAATATATCCTGGATAGCTCCCACACAGTTCTTTTCGTATATCTTCCGAAGTTGAATTTTGCTTTAACAGCTAGAATTGTGCATGAGACGAGTGGGATAATAATGTTAGTAAATATAGATATTAAAGTATTCAAGTCTTCAAGTAAACTGACCTATCTTCACCATAGTGATTTGAAGGTCCTGTATTATAGCAATTATTAAAATAACACTAAAAAAACACTGGGTTTACTCATGAAAAGTCACTGAGAAAGTGTGTGAATGTAATAATTTTTTTCATTGTTATGATTGAAATAATTTTATATGATTTGTTTAATTGGACTCATTTCCTCGCTGACCAAAGAACACAAATGCACCAGATTTTTTCTAACAAAAATCTTCAGGCTTGAAAAATCTTAGTTTTTCTTGGGCATTTAGCAACAGAGACTCAGGTGTCCTAGCTCTTTGTGACACTTTTTGGGAAATTAGCCATGATCTTTGGAAGATTTCCAGGAAATAGGAGCTTAAGAGTCTAGTCTCAAGACCAACAGTGTTTATTCAGAGAAGTGAGCAAACATAGATCATGTTTCATTTGTAAAACAATTATTTCATTTAAGAGTTATGCATGTGAAGAAAACATATATGAAAATACAATAAAATATGTAATTACCAAAAGCAATAATTGTAAAACATTTTTATTATGGAATCATAATAAGTCCCTCACATATTTCACCGTGCAGACCAATCACAGATGCAGCACTATTTTCAGCTATAATATTGATCACATTCACTGTTATGAACATGTTTAGATAATTACAGAGCCAATTATATTTAGTAGTAATTGTTAATGGGTCCTTCTTAATAATTAATTCTTATAGCCCTGAGAAACAATGGCCAACTAACTTCATCCTCCCCTTTAGTTTGCATCACAAAATCTACACTCTGCCTTCCAGTGACCCAACTTCTAAAGGTAATAGAAAAAAACAGGATATACTTATTCTAGGATATACTGTAAGTGCCAGGTCTTCTAGTCATTCATCCATATCTCCTCCCTACCATTGCACATAAACTCACCCCAAAATGATTTCTCTACTCATTCTTGCAAGGGTTGCAGAAAGCAGTAAAGAGAAAGAAAGAGGAATCAGAGGTTGCTGACACAGGCATCAATATGTCATCCTAATTTTTACATCCCTTCCCTGCTCCAACTACTCTCAAAATATGTATCTATACATAGAAAATTCATTTTTGACTTATCTGCATTGGATACATGACTCCGTGCTGCCTCACAAAATTATGTGATTTTATTCCATATGACAAAGAGAACTTGGGGGTTTCAACCCAAGAAGTGGTATTTTTGTGACTAGCATTGCTCTTCTAGATATTAAAGACTATAACTGACTCAATGCAAGGCTTTTGCTTCTAGGAGCCAATATGGAAGAAATAGAATGGAAAAGCATAACTCCCTAGTTTTCACAGTAGTCCAATTTGGGATGGTTTTAAATTGGAATTAACTGAGCACATTGGGGGCTTCCTAGGCCAGACAGGGTGCTTTAGGTATCTCAAGTATATTTATTATTGAAACTAGACATTTAACGTCTACTCTGGACTGAATGAGAAAGTCTTATATTTCAATCGGCACTAACAGAATTGCTTTGGTGGGTATGGTGCCTTTTCCTAGCATCTACTTTTGTGTTGTCCTTTGGCTCAATAAACATAGATCAGTTTATTGAGATGCTTGAGTTATAGAGAGTGTTAACTCAAGGGAACTAACAGACAAATGAAGCTGAAGTGGTTATAATCACTGGAATATGAATAAAAGTCAGAGATACGTCCCCATGATTCAGAAGGCAGAAATGTGAACTACATAAGATATGGATATATTATTTTAAATGCTTGTGTGTGTGTGTGTGTGTGTGTGAGAGAGAGAGAGAGAGAGAGAGAGAGAGAGAGAGAGAGAGAGAGAGAGAGAGAGAGAGAGATTTGTCTATTGCAAAATGTTTTAAATGCCCTCTTCTAAATTTCTAAAGAGTATGTAAAGTAGGGCTCAAACACCTATCAGGGCCAGCCAAATAAATGTATGAATCTGGCTGGATGAAAGACAATGAGGAAAAGTGTGATTATAGTTAATAGAAGAGTACCTATTCTGCCTAAAGGCACTAAAATTCCATTTCTTAAAATCCCTGTATACACACACACATTTAGTTCATAGATGCCAGTTTATACCATTGATAGAAATTATGTGTAGTATCTTGCAATCTGGAATCTTAAAGAAAATGACTGGTAAACAGAGGGAAATCTGTAGATAAGCTCTCTAAAGTCTGCTAAGGAAAAGAACTTTACTACTTTGGAGAGATGTTTTCCATTGCTCTCAATTTTTCCAAAGGTATTATCAGTATGAATGAGGCAGCAAGTTTTACGAGTGCTATACCTTCATTTGCTTTCATATAGCTTTTTCCCCTTCCCTGCTTCAGAAAATAGAAAGATCACATATATACCACCCCATTTATTACTAAAAGAAAAATCTCAGGTTTGATTAAGGAACCTAACAGGAAAGTAAATAAATATCAAAGATCTTAAAGAATTTGCAATGTCTCAAAATTAAGCTTTTTTTTTTAATTGCAGAGCTCCTAAGAAAAGATTCTTCCGGAGATATTTCTCCAAATGGGAAAGATGGCCCAAGCCTCTTCCTGTTGAGACGATTCCTTTACTAACTTATGAGGTTAGCTCTTTATTATCAGTTCATTATAAAATTGAGTAAAATTACCTTTTCCAAACCAAGGATCCTGGCAAGGACTTGAGTACCATTGAAAGTATCTGTTCCAGTACTTTCCAAATCAGAACTTGGACTGGGAAATACTGTGGCTGTAGTAGAAAAAAGAACAGATTAGATTCTACACACACACACACACACACACACAGATGGGCAGGTTCACATAAGAACCCATAAATATCACTGCACCCTCATACATCCCACAACAAGAATGTGCTCAAATATGCATCTTCCATGAAAGTTTTATATACTGTCAAAATGGCAAATTCTATCATTTTTCTTTTCACATAAAATTGTGATAGTTTTGGTGTGCTCTTGGTTGTTTTCCAATCCTTTCAGATGTGATTTGCTTTCCTTCCAGTTTATGTCATTAAACTTCATCACCAATATTATTGCCTAATAAACGGAATCATTTCTGTGCAGGCCTGGAGGATGTGAGGTGCCCCCACAAACTCCACAGATCCATCATCTCCAACATCTGTTCAAAGGATCCGCCAATGCACATCTGGTAGTAATGCTTTTCTTTTTAATTATTCAATCGGGAGGCTGAAATCTGCTTAGGATCGTAAATTCTCTCCTCCCCAAAGTGGCTTCTGAATGATATTTCAGATCAAATAAATGGGTAAAGCAATTAGTCCAGACTACAGTATCCTTTACTTAAGGAGCTCCCAAAATGGCTTCATCCAGGACTCTTCGTAATGTGCCCCGGGTCAGGGACATCGGCTAGAAGAGTATGTTCAGATCTATAGCATGGACATTCGCTAAGACTGTATGTTAACTTTTATAAATTTTTGACAAAAAATACTGTGTTGTCTTCACACAAAGAATCTTAATAGTCAAAGATACAGTGACTTATCACCATTAGTACCTAGGCTTTATTATAGCGCCGACAGGGCTGAGGATTTACCAACTGTGGTGAGCACACAATTCAATATGCAGGTGATGTATTCTAGAACTGAATACTTGAAACTCCTACAGTGTCATTAACCAACATCACGCCAAAAATTCAGTTTCAAAACATTACGAATGTATTTTTCTAGACCAAGGCAATTCTTTTGTGAGATGACTGGTCCGGGTGAGAAACGTAACGTGTGGCTACCGAGCAAAGCAAAGCTTCCTGGGATGCAACACTATGCTCTTTGCTATAACCTCCTCAGCCAAACACCCATAGATCATTTGCCACAGAACATTAACTCCTCAGAACTACTCACCACCACCTTCCTACCACATCAATCCAGGACTTTTCTCATTTTGTCCATCAACTTGTATTGGAATTATTTAATGTCATAAAATTTTAAATATTCCATGGCATTTTTAAAGGTACTTCTTGTTTTTCAGAGTACAGCCCTATTCCAACCTATAGGAATCTTTGTTTTGTTCGCTAATGTGCCCCCAGGACTTAGGACAGGGTCTACATGATAAGGGGCATCCAATAAAAATTGTCAAATGAATGTAAATAGTCCTGCTATTTTGAGTTTGTTCTCAACGTGTGGCTTCCATGTATGTTTCCCAGGACGGCCTGCATCAGAATCACTTGGCCTGAGGCTCAGCAAGCTCAGCCAGAGTTTTCTGCACTAAAGTTTGAGGGCCACTGGCGTAACTGTGAATGGTGGAAATACAGTCACACTGAATGACTGTGACACTGAGGGCTGAGTGGAAGTAGTGAGAGTCTAGCTGACAGAGTCCCAGCCTGGTGGCTGTTGCAGTACCAGCTCTGCTGGATGGCTACAGACAGGGCACTTAACCTTGTTGGGCCTCATCTTCCTCATCTGTAAGAGGAAATGTTTTGGATAAATCTCTGTTATTCCAGCCAATGATTTTTTTTCCTGGGCTTTCTAACCATCCCAGCATCATCTAATCAGAGGAAAATAAAGAGTCCCTAGGCAATCCTGGGAAAGTATGCAATTCTCAACATCATATGATTACCAGCTAAGCTTTTGCTCCCCGAGAGTATTTCAGCAAGAACTTAATTTCCAATTATTCTTGAGAACTTTGTATAATTGCACTGCCACACTTAGGCAACCGTAATAAACATTTGGATCTCTTAGGGATATGGTAGGCTTTCCATTTTTATTTGAAAAGTGAAAAGAATAAACCCTTTTAAAGATTGGACATGTACTGGCTTTTCCAAAAAGCCTGTTCTAAACTCGGCAGAAGAGAACAGCGTACCTGGTGATGCGTGCCTTCTTTCTGGAACTTGGGTGCCCTGGAGTGATAAATTGTTGTGCTTCTTCTGTAGGTTGGATGGCTTTCTCAGAATTGCACTAGAGAAGAAAAAGCAAGAACTCTATAACTTCACCCACATTAACTTCAGTTAGTTACAGCAACGTATTATGTGCCAAATCCCATGGCTCTCCGGGGACTTTTAAATGTTTAATCTACTTTCTAGGATTTTAATGGAAGAGCTCACCTAACCATACACCAATGGATACATAAGGTCTCCTACAAGGTTCATTTTATTCAGAGAAAATGAGGTTTAAAATAGATATTTTTACTTTGATCTTGTAGAAAGGAAATTCTTTTTAAAAGACAGTGAAAGTAAATATATATTTATATATAATACATATATATATATATATATTTCTTTTAAAAAGATGATAGATCCCAAATAGATAAGAGTCCAAGGGTGCTTGGGGGATGGAAGCAAAGGTCTGCTTATTTGTCAACCTTGAAAGAATATTAAATTATAGATGGCATTTTGAAGATTGTCAAAGATGAATACTTGTAAGACTTGTAAGACAGATTCAAGGAAGAAAAAAAAGAACACACATTTATTGAGTATCTAGTCTGTTCCAGGAACTGTGGTTGATGTTATTACAGGTGGCACCAGGTGTTAAA